AAAAAAAAAAACTAACAAATTAAACTGGTTAAATAATTGATGTTAATCACCCAACAAATTGAAGAGGTGACATAAAGGCAACACATGCCACCACACAAGCATTCATAGCCAACTCACCGTTATCATCACTTTGGGATTGCTTTTAATTTCTTTATTTATATTACTGTATATTGCTTTGTTTGATGACAAATACTTGTGTAATTGAATAATACTCTTAATCAAATTTTTGCTATTCATCCCTTTCAATGTACATATCGGCTATTTGTTGCTTAAATTTTACTTTATTTGTTATTTTATCGATTGTTTTGTTTTTATTTTAAATTCAAATGGACTACTTTTGTTCAATTTTTGATGAAATAGTTAATAAGTAACATCATAATATTTGATAAATCTTCTATTTTATTTATCTATATATAATAAATAAGTAATTTTAGAGACACTTGTCATATTTTTGTGTTCCAAGCCTTCATCTTTTTGACCATAGTTTCGTTTTCCTTTTTCTCAAATTACTGAAAAAAAAAATTAAAGCTTTTAAAATTTGATTATTTAAAATTGAGCATTATCATAAAAATTTGAAAAACAACATTTGATATTTTATAAAAATAAAAAAAAAAATTTCTACAAATATCAGGAAAATTAAAGCAATTATTCTCATCGGTTGTATTAGTAAGTTTGTAAACTAAATAAATAAAATATAAGTTTTCATAAGGGTTTACACTTCGATTTAAAGAAAACATTAGTTTTTACAAAATATAATAAAAAAAATATTTGTCTTCAAGTTCAAATGACTATTTGAAAATTTATGATTTATATTATCTTTTTTTATTATTATGAAAGATATTTTTTTATTACTAAACTTACATATCAGTTCTCTATTTCAGTTAGATCTTGTCGTCACATATCGTTTTAGAAATCTTCACTGATATCCAACCTAGTGTTATACAGAAAGATAAAATACAAATAATCTTAATAATCTAATATCATATCTTCGTAAGGTCATGATCACATGGAAAATGACAGTTAAAACTATATAAAATGCAGAACAATTATTATTCAACATATATAACATCTAATAAAGTAAAATAATAATGCGTACATTCAAACAATTAATATGGAGGGAATTTTTGGTATCATGTAAATTAACAACTTAATGCGTTTTAATTTGAATAACAGGCTATTTTTAATTCAAATAATTGTTAACAAGCGTTTGTCATCACTCTGACACAACGACTATAAACAAAGATCAAGATCTCATATTGAGTTGTTTTGAAGGTACTTATTATTTTTTTTACATTATCTTTTTATTGAATAATAACATGATAATGAAGGTTCCACCTAATTAGTTTTAAAATATATACCTCAATTAATGGATAATGAAGTTAATTTCCTTCACAACTAAAAAAAAGTTATATATAATATAATATATATATATAGATATAATATATATTATATATATATATATATATATATATGGTTGACCATTTAATTTTTCTTTGTGTAAATGTTTAACATATATAATTGTAACAATTTAAAATATATAAAATTATATAAAAAAAAAGATAAAAGTTCATAAAACATAATTAAAGTAACTTTTGGATTAATTATTTCTTTATTATAAAGTAAAAAAAAAAAAAATTTTTATAGTTGTACTTTTGAACGAAACATTTTCTTTTTAATTTAATTTAGAAAAAATAATTTTTTCAAAAGCTTGCTACCAAATATACTTGTACTCTCACACCTCGTATACATAAAGCAAGATTTTTTTTATCAATCATTAATGTAATATTAAATTTTTTTTTACAACTAAAACAGACCCTTTACTAGTATATTTATAATTAAACATGTACGTTATAACTTGCTATATGTATTGTGCTTTAATAAATTATGCATCTTTAATTAAATAAATATGTTAGATATATTGTATATATGTTCTTTATTAAAAAAATCTAAATTTGCAATAATACCAAAGTAATTCACATTAAGTTTAACGTACATGCTTAAATTAACAAAGCCTAGTGAAACTACATAAGTCAAATTGTTTAGAAATAAATACTATTAACTCTTAAAAATGATATTTAAATAATTTTTTTTAACTTAAAAGTTTTATCTTAGTTATTATCAAAATTTATTTATTTTATATATTATACTTGGTTAGTTACGTACGGAATGATATTTTTGGGGTTTGATATAAAGAATAACCTGTAAATCGAGACTTAACAATGATCTTGTAAAGGTTAATTTTCCTCCGATTGTTAATTGCTAACAAACTAGTTACCCGATCCTAACAGGGACTATGGATAACTAATTTACCTCTCTCACAATAGACTATTTGCATTGTTCTGTAGGTGTAGTCTTTTTTTTTAATTTCCCTATAAATAAATATTCAGTATTTAAATAATATGGAAAAATCGATAAAATTAGAGAGTCAAATTAAAACTATAATACCTTTAAAATGGTAAGTCAATTTACATGTCATATTTTTAATTAACGTTATTTAATTATTTATTGTATTTTATTTTAAAATTATTCATTATTAGTTGGCATGGGTCCAAAAAATGGCTGGAAAAGCCCGATAAAGACCCATCAGCTACAATCACGTATT